TCACAGAGCAATGTCAGCACGAGCCTGGAGGAGACACGAGTGAATCTCATGCTGTAATTTACAGAAAGTATATGGTTTATTTTAAGTGTACTATACAGAAGGGATGTATATTCACTGAACGTGGTGCAGAGGCGACTGTGCCGTCCTCCCTGAATACATCTGTGATTATTCCTTAGCGCCGGCCTTGGGCCATTTCTTTCCTAGATAAGCTTTGTAAGTTTTTGAAATCGAGAAAATAACATTTGAACTAATAAAGTGGAAGTTGTCAGAAAAAAGAGGGTTTTGTTTGCTTGCTTTTAGTTTTTTTGTTTTGTTTGTTTTGTTTTTGGTTTTACAAAACTACTAGAAATAACAAGGATGAAAGGGACTGCATATGAAAAGGAGGAGGTGTGTTTTGGGTAAAAGAAGGTATGAGGGATGGAGATGCATTTTTGGTAAGGGGGGAAAAAAGAAAGTAATTTCATCCTAAAGGAAAATCATTGTTCCAGAATAAGAAAGAAAAAAGGACAAAACCCAAATGGATACAGAAAGTTGTAGAAGGCTTGCGGAAAAGGGATCTTGAGAAAGGAATCTTATGTGTGGCTAAGCAGACTGACATTAAAATGGACTTATTTATATTAAAAAGAAAAAAAGGAAGACTTTTAATATCAAAAGTGCAGTGGTGCACAATTAGAATTTGGTTTTCTCTCTGTTAAAAGGACAAAGTGTTCTTAGATTATTGGTCTGCTCTTAATAAGCAATTGCAAACAAAGGTTTTTCTTTACCTTTCATGTAATCTGCCTAGAAAACAAAGATTCTGTGTTTTGTCTTCATCAGGTTACTTAAGCAAATTGTCTTCTTTATGTAAAAAGCTAAGTTTTTTTTCCAACTAACTTTTTAATGGTATGTTAAATTTCATGGGAAGCATTTTCAAATAAGAAGCCACGCTAAACTTTCTTTAGGAAATACTTATATGGAAGTTATTAACATAAACGTTCCAGAAAGTATATGAAGTTCATGGGGATCTGATGTACTGACACAGTGTTATCAGTCATATTTCCAGCTATTGTCTTAAAATATGGTATGTCAGAGAAATAACCAAATTTTCTTGTCAATTGCATTATAATGACTTCTCATCTGATCTTTAACCATTGCCAATTTTTAAGCCTTTTACCATTTACACATAGTTACTGTTTTATTCTGATGCTGTTGCAAAAATGTTCCTGCAAAAATGCTTTATCTTTGAGGAGATTCACGAAAAAGACCCCCCCAACAAAGTACTCTGTAGAATACAGGTTTCTGATGACTTTAAGATCATAACACGGAACTGGGTAAGAATTTCTAAAACTTTCATGGAAAAGTGATGAATTGATCCAACTAACAAAAGATCGAGATCAACAAGAATTAATTACAGGAGACCAAATGAATTAATGAAGATGATTAGAATTTTTGTGACTTCATTTAAAATATTGCTGGTTCTTTAATGTTTTGTTTGCAGATTTAAAAGGATCTGAAAGAACATGATCTATCACTATTCCTGCTGCACTTATATAAATAATCAGGCCAAGCTTATTAAAAGTCAACTTAATTTGCAAAACAAATTAGTCTTGCCATGGTTGTCTTTGATGGAAATGGAAATGATTATGGAGAGAAATTTATGTTTCAGTAACACACCCCTGTGGATATTAGATTCTAGTGCTGTTAATCAAAATCTCTGAGGTTTATTTTCTACTTGTAACGGGGACTGGATCCCAAGTTCTAGCTTCCTCCAATATTTGGCTAAAACTCTCCAGACTAGCATTTCCAATTTTCTCCCACTACTTTCACTTGGAATCACTATGAAATTAAACCTGCCTTCCACCACCCCCCACCCCGAAGCCATGCAAGCTGAAACTGGACAACTTGATATAAACTTCAAAGAAATCCCAGCAGCCCATGTGCAGACAATCTTTGTACCTGCTCGGAAATATCACCGGGGACATTCACACTGCAAACACGAAAATCTGATCGCTTGACTGCACTGCTTGCATTCTATCTAAAGATGCTTAGAATCCGACTTTTAGAAATCTTCTCAACCGACTGCTCTCCAAACTCAGAAAACGGAATTTCTAATTTGCTTGAACTCTTCATCTTTGTTCTTTTGTTTCCATAGAAATGCCTCTCATTAAATTACCTGATTGCTCACACCATATAGATGCCGAAGCCCATGCGTAACGCCACTTCCTGAAATGCAACATTCTCAAGTTCATCCTGCCTCGGGTCATCGTGAGGATATGTGTTTGCTAATACATCATGTTATGCCTATGTAAATAACTTAAAAATTTTTTTTTGGCAGATTGACTTAGTAAAGTAAAATCTGAATCTGATTACAACCCATTGGATTTATTTGGTTAGTTAAACCTTGGCTCCTGGGTATCTCTGCTCTGGGGAAGTTTTCAATGCTTGGCTATTGTTTTCCCTACAATCATCATATTGACCTTTCTTGTGCATTGTAGACTCTCGAAGCTTTTAAATGCCTGTTGGCAGCCAATCACATGCCAGATGGCATCCATCAAGAGCAGGCAACTGGATGAAATCAACAACAACCACATGAATGATGAAGATAGTGACTACATGGCCCTCTGGCCTGATGACTCAACTAATGGAAACAGCAAATGTGTGATCTTCCAGCCTGACTAGTCACCAACCGTGGTAGTGGAGAGTAACGCCCATAATGGCTGGTCATACTCTGAGCCTGCTGAGCTATGACCCAAAGCAGGGGAAACTGTTAAAATTTAGAAACAAAGGGAGACCAACCTTGAAGGGTCGCTGAGCAGACAGAAGCAGTTTGGTCATGCTGGCGAAGCTTAATTTGGCTTATCCTGCAAGGCTAACTGGACCTGGTCGTTTCTTGCTTGTGTCTCTGGAAATGATAAGCAAAACTTGAACTGCTTCCCAAAGTTGATATGACTGGTAACCCCTGAAAATTATAATATTGTAACTAATCACTGTGAAGAATAAACAGTCACAGCTTTGTCACTGGATAAGCTGCTTTATAACCACGCAGCCCTGAGCCTCATTCCATGTTTTGGCTTGAATGCTCTCGGTTTGCAAACTTTCTGGGGCCTGCACAGTAATTTTTTTACTGACTGCTACTTCAGTGATTCATTTGGTTTTCTTTTGGCTATTTTGAACTTTTGACAGAAGTTATGTCATTCTGTTCAAAATGACATGGCCGTTTTATAGGCCTTTCCTGAACCGCCTGTTTGCTGTAATGTTCTTTACACTTGAGCAATCCCCTCCAAAAGAGAAGGTGAAACCAACCTATTGGCAAAACAAAACAAAACAAAACAAAACAATCGCCCCACAATGAGGAAGGTACCTTTACTCGAATCATTTCTGCCCAGCCGGAACACCACCGAGCAAGTCATTTCAAAGACCGCAGGAGGCCATCTTACAGACCCCCGCCCTCCCCACGGCCCGGTGAGTCCGGGCGCTCGGTCGCAGTAGCCGGTGCAGCCCGGCCTCTCGGGGCAGGGCGGCCCGTGTCGCGGCCGCTAGGTTCCCCTCTGGCCGGGGGTATGAGGCGAACAAGATCGGCGGGGCGGGCCTCCGGAGCCCAGAGGTGACCCAGCTGGCTGGGCCGGACTGAGTGGCTGGGCCCAGCACGTGACCACCCAGCCCGGCTCCGCGGGGGGTGGGGGTGGGGCCTCCCTGGGCGCCGGAGGATGAAATCGACATTTGCCTGGGGCAGGAGTGAGCCTGTCAGATTCCGTCTCCATTAGACCCTCCACCCACGGGAGCCGGGGATTGCGCTAGCATTTTATTTATTTATTTATTTTGGTATCTCCGGAACCAGAAAGCAAAAGGTAAGTTACTTATCACCTAGAAAAACAAGCTTCAGAGGAGTGACTAGAAAACCACACGACCGGCCACATTGTTGGGTTTTAAAATCCGGTGCAGAAAATAATAGATCGTTGTGAGGGGCAAGGGCCCATATTTATGTCCCAAATTAGAGGCTGACCTTCTGAACGGAGATTTGGTTAGTCTGGAGGGAATGGTGGCAAAAGGGCCCGGGTTAAACATAGAAGGACACCAAAGCGGTTGGAATAAATAGCAAGTAGGTAACTCTTGCCTGCTTGTAAAACCGTCTATTTCACATCTCTTTAGAGGGTAGCAGGTGAGGCAATGTTAAAATTGTGACTTAAACTCTATGGAAAGTAAACTAGTATATGAAACGGGAATACAAGTAAGACCAGTTTCTGCTTTTGTCCTTTCACATTTCACAACCGTTTATATGGTTTGGCAGAAGAAAACTTAATGGGTTCACTGCTTAAGTTTGAAATATGCCATTTCAGGTTTACACGATCACTGTTGGAATTTTCTAAGGCTTTCTAGGCAAGGCTGTTTCAGTTGTGAATGAGAAATGTTGACATCGTGCATATTTTCTGTAACAGTAACATGACTCCTGCAGAATGTGATAAAAATTAAAAAGCGTGAAATAATGAGTTATTGTGAATTAACTCTTTCATGGCTGAGAGATCAGATTCCTTGCCAGAAGGTTTAAGAAAACACACAAGTACAACCATGCTCATGCAACAGTGCTTTATTTTAAGTAAGCAAATATTCCAGTAAGTAGTATGAGTATGTGGTATCCCTTTTTTCCCCCTGTGGCAAATGCAAGTTAGTATTAGAATGTAGCTACTGAGAGTAAATAAAAGCATTATTTATCAGTGCAGTTAGCATAATATTCAATAATGAATATGCTTCAAATTAAAGTATTTGATATATTTGATAAATGATTTGAAACACTGAACCTCTGTGCTAGGTATTTCCATGCACTTTTTATTTTAACTGTTATTTTGATTTACACAAAATATATTTCTCCGTTGCCTTTGATAAAGACTTTTAAAAATAAAACACTAAATTGTTCCCTTTCATTACTAATCCCTTTCTTGCTAACTCTTTTGAAATCCTATTACATGCTTGGAGCCTGTAATCATTTGGATTTCTCCTTCTGTGTGCTGCTTGTTTCCCACAGTCGGTGAAAGGCCGGGAAAGCTGCGCACAGCAAGCCGACGGCGCAGAAGGGAGGCGGGAGCGGGGCTTCCCGGCCGCTTGCTCCTCACCTCCGGGGACTTCCAGGGTCTTCCTCGCCGCCCGCCCCCTCCCCGCTTCGCCCCGAGGGCGTCACGTGGCGGCGTGGGGCCCGCCTCCGGTGACGTCACCGCGCTCGCAGCCGTCGCGCCGAAGAAAGGATGCTCTAGGATGCTGTGCAGGTGGGCGGCGGGGATGCGCCATGCGGCACTGCAGGTAAGGGGCGCGCGGCGCCCACTCTGCCGGCGCAGCCCGGGTCTGCAGGCCTGTGGCCCGTCGGCGCCCCAGAAAGCGAAAGTGGGGGTCTTTGGCCGCTGCGGCTGCTGCATGCACCAGGCGGGGATGCCGGGGGTCGGTGGGGGTGTTGCAGGCCCACGCGTGACTTCGAGCTTGGCATGCCCATCCGGGGAAGTGGGCAGGGGCCAGACAGGAAGACCGCCGGGGCCTCTTGCTCAGGAGAGAAAAAAAAATCTGGAATGAAGGGAGAAAGGGGCTCGTCACAGATAACCGTCAACTGTTTTCTAGCTGTCATTGTGCTTCTTGAATAATGACACATTTACTAATTCTCCTTCCAGGGGTTTGTCCTCAGTATTTAGCCTGATTTCTTGTAAAGCAAAAGCTGCTTTGCTCTGAATGGAATGGAAACTTACTGGTTAGCAATTTAAAGAGCTAAATGTGCAATATAAATCGTTTTTGCATTATTTTGCAAGGTTCCAGCGTTTAAAGGGGATATGTCAGAAACGCATTTTTCCCCCTCCAGGTGTTTTAAGTAGATTGGAAAATAACAGTATCCAATAAAATAAAATGCAGCCTCCGAAGATTAACTGCGAGTGTAAGAGCGAATCAGCTACATCTCTGAAGAACAAAATGGTTTTTAGAAGGGGGTGGGGTGGAGATGAACACCCAAACCGAAGAATTCCCAGTGTTCTTTTTAATTTCCGTGCTGAATAATTAGCCTGCTGGAAGAAGGGGCTTGATGACTCAGCGGCAGATGGAGGGGGGTCAGGTGACTTCAGCTCTGGCCGGTGGGGGGGCATTTAATGGACTCTGTTAAGCCTTGTGACCTGTTTACATGCCTTTCTCTGGTTCAAATAGGGCCTGAGGCCGGGACACGGGTGGGCACCCTTAGGAGGAGAATGTGTAAAACATGACCCCTCTGGAAGTTGGGGTGGCAGTAAACTGTACTGGAACTCACACCATGAATAATTTGATTCCCCAGCAACTGTTGGAGGACAGTGTTAAAAAGCAGTGCCATTTTAGTTGGTAATATAAAGGTTTTTTGTTCTTTTCCCCTTGACGGTGGGCTTACTGTCAGGCAGCCCAGATAGCTTTGGCTCTAAGAAGGGGATTATAGACTTCCTCTCTCTGCTTTATTTTCTAACCAAATTTCCGTTGATGTGCTCTGATTATTTATTTCACAGTAAGGTGAAGCTATAAAAACAATGGGGAATTCTCTTCCAACTTAGAACTTTATAAGACTGCCATTCAGAAGACATCAAGGAGAAAAGAGGATGTGAGCCCTGTTTAAAGAAAAATGGGGATGGAGATGGGGTGAAGTCAGCAAAGAAAAATGGGGATGGGGTGAAGTCAGTGAGACTTACCTTTGATTTTGCTAAAATCAAAATAATGTTTCTGTGAAATTCATGCTATGTCAGAAAATGAGCTGGCAAGATACTGAGACGTACCCTTGCATACTTCAGCCTAGAGATCCAAATGTCAGCATCATGTCTTTGTCCATACCCACGCCTATATACTTATATATCCACACATTCATGTTTCTGTCTCTACAGCTGTGTCTTTGTTACTGTAGTCTTTTTTAAAAATTGTGCTTATAGGGGCGCCTGGGTGGCTCAGTTGTTAAGCGTCTGCCTTCGGCTCGGGTCATGATCCCGGGGTCCTGGGATCGAGCCCCGCCTCGGGCTCCCTGCTCGGCGGGAAGCCTGCTTCTCCCTCTCCCACTCCCTCTGCTGTGTTCCCTCTCTCGCTGTGTCTCTCTCTGTCAAATAAATAAATAAATAAATAAATAAATAAATAAATAAATAAAATCTTTAAAAAAAAATTGTGCTTATATAAGAAAATGCCAAGCTATTTTCCAAGGTGGGTGTACCATTTTGCTTTTCTGCCAGCAATGTATGAGAATTTCAGTTGCTCAGGATCCTTGCCAGCACCTTGGTTTTGTTTTGTTTTTAATTTTAGCCATGCTCATAGGTATGTAGGGGTATGTATCTCTTTGTGTTTATCTTTTTTTAAGTGAATGAGTCTTACCATATGTAAATTATTCCCTTCCAGCCCCTTGGTTATTGTCAGTTTTTTAAAAAATTTTAACCATTCTGGTAGGTAGTTATGGTATCTCATTGTGGTTTTTTCCTCTTTTTAACTTTTTTAGTAATTTACTTACTTATTGTGTTTTGAGTCTGTTTCTCCCTGCTAGAATATGAGGTCCAGGAAGCCTGGGATTTGTGTATGTATTGTTCATTCCTCCATCTCCAGCACTGGGCGTGGTACTGGGAGTATTTAGTTACCGTTTAAGAAATCGGTCAATGTTTTGCAATTGCACACGTCCTGAAGGCCTGCGAGAGCCACCTTGCTCACCCCAGAGGGGGTTAAACCGTCAGCGGTGCCTCTGCAGTTCCCGCTGGTGGAGGAGTCAGGGACGAACCGGATTTGGCAGCACGTTTCAGGCTGAAATCACTCTCAAGGAGCTAGCTAGCAATTTTCATTACCTAGCTGGTAACTGAGCTTCATTTTTCATTAATCATTTTCAAGTTCCTGGATCCAACCATGCTTGAAGCTTCAATTAAAAAAAAATTTATTTCTCCCACCCCCTACCCCCCTGCCTTTGGCAACCACCAGTCTGTTCTCTGTGAGCTTTTTTCCCCCTTCGATTCCACATTCCACGTATAAGAGGGATCCTACAGTATTTGACTTTCTCTGTCTGCCTGACTTACTTCCCCTTAGCATAATGCCCTCGAGGTCCATCCATGTTGCAAATAGCAAGCTTTCGTTCATTCCTTTTTTTTTTTTTTTAAGATTTTATTTATTTATTTGACAGAGACACAGCGAGAGAGGGAACACAAGCACAAGGGGGAGTGGGGGAGGGAGAAGCAGGCTTCCCGCAAAGCGGGGGAGCCCGATGCGGGGCTGGGATCATGACCTGAGCCGAAGGCAGACGCTTAACGACTGAGCCACCCAGGCGCCCCCATTCTTTCTTATGGCCGAATAATATTCCGTTGTAAATACATACCACAGTTTCTTTATCCATTCATCCATCGACAGACACTTAGGTGGTTTCCCTGCCTTGGCTCTTGTAAATAATGCTGCAACGAACATAGCGGTGTGAATGTCTTTTTCAGTTAGTGTTTTTGTTTTCTTCTGATAAACACCTAGAAGTGGAATTGCTGGGTTGTATGGTAGTTCTATTTTTAGTTTTTTTGAGGAGCCTCCGTACTGTCTTCCACAGTGGGGGCACTAATTTTCATTCTTACCAACAGTGCATGAGGGGTCCCTTTTCTCCACATCCTTGCCAATGCTTGTTATTTCTGGTCCTTTTGTTAATAGCCATTCTAACAGGTGTGCGGTGTTATTTAGTTGTGGCTTTGATTTGCATTTCCCTGATGATTAGCGATGTTGATCATCTTTTCATGTGCCCGTTGGCCATCTGCCTGTCTTCTTTGGAACAATGTCTATTTAGATCTTCTGCCCCTTTTTTGATCAGATTTTTTTTTTTTTCTGTTGAACTGTATTCTTTATATTTTGGATATTAGCTTCTTATCAGATAGATGCTTTGCAAATGTTTTCTCCCATTCAGTAGGTTGCCTTTTCATTCTGTAGATGAATTCTTTTGCTGTGTGGAGCTTCTTAATATGATGTAGTCCCACTTACTTATTTTTGCTTTTGTTTCTTTGACTTTTGGTGTCAGGTTCCAAAAATCATCGCCAAGACCTATGTCAAGGAGCTTATCGCCTAGGTTTTCTTCTAGGAGTTTTATGGTGTCAGGTCTAATGTTCAAGTCTTTAATCTATTTCGAATCAATTTTTGTATCCGGTGTAATTTTGTATATGGCATTTCTCACAAAGTTTGGACACCCTGATGTGTTGTTGCAGTAATTCAGCAATTTGTTTATTGCAATTTCCTTCATTTGGTTCAGGTTGGCCACAGGGATTAAGATCCTCGGGTCCCTTCCTTCCCTTCTCCCTCATCCAGCCCTAGACAGAGCAGAACGGGTGATAGAGTTGGATGTAGAGACCTGGATTCTACTCTGGCTTCCTTCCGGACTGTGTAACCTTGGGCACATTACTTTGTGTCTTTGGGCCTCAATTTTCTCTTCCTCAAGGTAACCCAAGAAATTTAGATCAGGGTTTCTCCGCCTCAGCACTGTTGACCTTTGGGGCTGAATCAATCTGTTGCAGGGGGCGGGGGGCGGGGGGCGTCCTGCGCACTGTGGGAGGCTGGGCAGCATCCCTGGGCTCCATTCGCTAGGTGCCAGTAGCGCCCCTCCCCCAGCCGTGACAACCAGAATGTCTCTAGATGCTGCCACCTCTCCCTCTGGGGTAGGGAGCATTGCCCCTGGTCGAGAACGACTGATCTGGGTGATCTCTAAAAGTTCTTCTGGCTTCAGTGTTCTAGAATTCATTTTCCTATGATTTGTTTGACGCTGAGCCTTTGATCAGAGATCCGATTCCCTTTCATCGCGTCTATATATCGGAAAATACAATGCGCGAGCTTTTTTACGCTGTGGGGTTCCAGAAGTAGCTTCTGTCCGAAAGGGGAGGCCTGTTTGTGCGCCAGTCGTGGCTGGGAAGCCAGCTGGGCAGAGAGGAGAGTGCCAGGGAGAGGGGCCGCCGGGCCCAAGAGCAGCGTGCGCTGGCGCCTCCGGGGCGCCACTGTTTGGTCACCTGAGAGCCCGGCCCAGGCCTCCCAGCCCAGTCCCCGCCATAGGTGCACGAGGGGGCGGGCAGCGTGGCGCAGAGGTGGTGCCGGCAGCGACCGCGGTGAGAAGCCGGTGGTGGCGTCTCGGGGAGCTAGCATCAGGAGGCCGGCGCCAACTGCCCGCGCAACCCAGCGCCACCCGCCTCCCCGCTCCGCCCCGGGCAGCGTGCTCACCCGCTTCGAGCGTCTGGCTCTGGCCCCGGAGGGCGGCTTTGTCTGCATCACTTCCCCTCTTGGAGCAGTTGCTGGGTCCATGACTTGGGGCCCCCGGTGCTTGCTGATCCTGC